GGCCGGGGGCGGATGGGCGGCAACCCCCTCCCCTCGGCGGGGCGCCACAGCGCGAGGCCGAGGGGAAACTGCAGCCGTGACTCAGGCGTGGGGCAGATGGGGCTGGCTGCCTCCCCCACTCGCCAAACACTTCATGCCGATTCCCAGTCAGCCCCACAGAAGCGGGAGGGGGGGCCATGTCCCCTCCCCCTACAATCCGGGGGAGGGGACTGTCTGGAAAAGGGCGGGTCCAGCCCCCTCGGGAGGGCAGTTCCCCGTCTGCAGGGCCGGGCTCCCCCCAGCCTGTGGCCAGACCGGCCCCTCTGTCAGAGCCCACCAAGGCAGCTCCGGGGGATGCTGCTCCCCCCTTCCAGGAGGCCGGGACCGCACGCCGCCTGCCTGTCTGGGATTCTGGATCCATCAGGCTGCTTGTTGGAAGGCGCCTGCTGGGAAATTCCTGGCACCGGCCCCAACCTTCACAGCCAGCTCCTGGGGAATTACCCAGCTTGCAAGACAGGAAGCCACGCTCAGCTGTGGAATTCACCCCCCGAGGGAGCGCGCGCCCCGCGGTGGGACACCGACCTGCCAGCCCACGCTGGGCTCAGGCCTGGCACCCAGGGCGGACACTGGGCCATGCAGCAGGGACCCTGCCTGCAGCAGGCACCCACGGCTGGGGGGAAGCACCCAGAGGATCCCCACTATGGGAGCTGGATTGTCACAGGGTTCAATGGCTCGGCGAAGGTGAATTCAACCCCCCGCAGGCCACGTCAGCCCTGCACTGGGGTCACCTCCCCAGGATCCCTCTGCAGTAGCAGGACTTCCCCTGCCACCAGCAAGGACAAACCTGGGGGGAAGGGTTCCCTGGGGAGCAGCTCCTCCCCCCCCAGGGACGTCCCGCTTGCTGGAAGTGTGTCGCTTTACCCTCCGGTGAGCCTGGACCCATCAGACCTGCCCCCCGCAGGCCACGTCAGCCCTGCACTGGGGTCACCTCCCCAGGATCCCTCTGCAGTAGCAGGACTTCCCCTGCCACCAGCAAGGACAAACCTGGGGGGAAGGGTTCCCTGGGGAGCAGCTCCTCCCCCCCCAGGGACGTCCCGCTTGCTGGAAGTGTGTCGCTTTACCCTCCGGTGAGCCTGGACCCATCAGACCTGCCCGGGCATGTGGGACTGTTTGAGAACCCCCGGAGTGTGGAAACTGAGGCAGGGCCCGGTGAGGTCAGGTCTCGTTGCAGGCTCAGCAGAGCCGAGACGCCCCTCGCACGTGTCGGCCCCGGGCTGGGTGCTGCACACACAGACAGGCCTTGCCCCCCAGAACCGGCTCCCAGCAAGAGGAGGCTCAAAAGGGCTTCTCCTTCGCTGGGGCAGTTGGCAGAGGTAGGATCCCCCCATGGGGCAAGCTAGTGTCTCCCCCTCCCCTAGCAGGGAGCATCAGCGCGCAGGCAATCTCCCCCCGTTCCCGGCAGAGCTCAGGGGGCACCGCAGGGCGCCACCAGGCCCTCCCCCGGCCGGAGATCGAAGGCGGCCAGGCACCGTCAGCCCTTGGCTGGGGCCCGCCCGCAGGGGCTGGGGAGAGGGCCCGC